AGATGGCGGAGGGGCGGTACATGTTGCAGAGGGGCGGTTGGGGGCATGTGTGGCATTGTGGTCAGTCAATGTGCGTCTCGGGAAAAAAAAGCGAGACCCAAAGAGTCATAAAAATAAAAAATAGCCCAAGTAAATGTCAAATAAACTTTAACGGTTTTCGCTTTTTTTTTCTTTTACTTTTTTTCTGGTTTTGTTTTGGCCTGGTCAACACACACAGGGGCATAGAGAGAGGGAGAGTGAGAGGGCAAGAGGAGAGACAGATTGGACCACAGCCGCAGGCCCCCACAGCAACCCGCCGGAGGCCCAAACAGGCCAGCAGCCAGTTGCCATAAACTTTTTAAGCAAAAAGCAAAAGAAAAAAAAAAAAAAAAAAATAGATATACATATATACGGATCTGGTATATATGTATATGTACCTATATATAATCGTACATACAAGGAAAAACTCGACCAGAAAACAGAGGAAAACAGAAGGGAAAAACTGCCATCGTTGCAGAAACTGCAAACAAAAATAAAAATAATAAAAACTCCTAGAAGAGAAGAAGAAATGGGCAACAGCAGCAGCCGCAATAGCAGTAGCAGCAGCAGTAGGAGGTGGAGGAGGTTTCATGTGGCATGTGGCATGAGGCATGACCGTGTGGCCAAGGGCGTAGCAGCAAAACCACACCGATTTACGGTGTAGGGCATTGAAGAGGAGAGTACTATATTACGTGACCAGCCGACAAAATGACAACCGTAAATCTGTGGTATATTTCATGTGGCAGCCACAAACAGAGAGGCAGTGCTACAGACAGGGGGAAGGCAACGTAAAGAGAGGAAGCAAAGGGAAGAAGAGCGTAGGGAGAGACATATAGAGAGGATACTCCCCATCGGAAAGTGCACTTAACATCGATTAAAAATCGATTAATACAGGTGTTTCCGACCAAAAAATCAAAAGCAAACCAAAATGCCTTACTCTGAAAACTGTCTCAAATGTGAGAATGAAACATCTGGTTTATCTTTTAGCCACTTACAAAGAAAATAAGGAAAGTTTCTCGATACTTTTGGCCATATGCGTTGGGACCCTTTATTGTTGTGGATGCCTACAAAAATGTAGGCGTACGGAAACACAGGACTACGCACGATAAAAGAGCAATAAAGACCAACGGCAAGAAGCGGATAGAGAAGGGGAATGTGTAGAGGAGAGAGAGAGGATATATGGAGCAGGATAAGGAGCAGCCTTTGTGGTTCATAAAAATGTTGGGCATCATAAAAATAACAACAGAAAATGAGTATCCCGTCAGAAACAACCGAAAATATAAACAAAAGTAAAGGAAACTCGAAGAGTTAAGGTCGTTTAAGGGTCATTATGGGGCCCCCCAATTGCATGGCAGGAACACAGAACACTCGTAGGAGCATAATAAGTGTTTATGCTGCAAACGGACAAGGCGGAGGGAGGAGGAGTGGCTGTAAGTCATTTCAAGTGTTGATGATAACTCACGAAAGTTTAGGACCCTAAGCTGTAGTAGTTAAAGCAGAAGGAGGAGGCATAAAGCCATGGATATGTGAGTATCTGTTGTGTGAAGTGTGGTACTTCTAATCATTATTGAATGATGGAACATTCAATCAGATCATAGGCCTCTTGCTGCCTGCAATCAACCTTCCAACCATCCATGCTGCTGCTGCAGGAATGTTATTTACTTGTATTTTATTGATCAATTTGCTTGGCTCTCCCACTGCAACTTAGCAAAGGAAAAAAGGTAAACCAAATGCAAAGCGTTGTGGGGTTTCATGTTTCTTTGTTATGGCGAAAGTAAATTCCATATAGTTCCAATAATAATAATGGATTTGGGAAGTGATTTTCACACTCTCTATCCACTCTACTTTTCTCCCTCTCTATGTTCTTTCTCACATTCTCTCTGTCTGGCATTTTCCTCTATTTGCTGGCTTCCTTCATTTATCTCAAACGTTGTACTTGAGTGCACTTTTTGCTATGGCCTCCAGTACTATGATTTATGTGGCATTTGGTAAGCTCCATTTGTGCCCGGAATCCCCGTCGCTCCGCCACTTCATTGTTGCGTCTTTTTATCGCACGGCAAACAATTTAATTTATTTGACAAGTCATAAATTGAAGCCTTGACACACAACAGCAACAAAATAGCAACAAAATGGCAAAAGAAAATGTTATTTTTCTTGTGGAAAATGCTCCTTGCGTTGAGTTATTTTCCATCATAATTTGTAGGGTTTCTGTTTGTCGCCGATACCGAAGGGGCCCCACTAACACTTATGCCGACGCGTTTTTTCCGTGGGGGATTTTCACTTTTCTTTCGAGCGCTGTCTTTTTGGGGCACGAGTGAAAAATCCGTTGCACGTAATTAACGCAATTAAAATCAAAACATTAATGACCTGCGCTGCTCGGCTGCGTCGCCAGGCGTCGCCGTCGACGGCAACAGCGCTGCTGGTGGCGAGACGCTGTTGGTAGCGCTGCAGCAGCCACAGCAGCAGCAGCGGAGGAGCAGCAGCAGCCGCCTCAGCCGCCTCAGCCGCCTCAGCCGCCTCAGCCGCCTCAGCCGCCGCCGCAGCCGATGGACGAGCCATAGATTTTTCTTTTGGTTTTTCTTGTGCTTTTTGCTGGTGAATATGTGTGAAAAATGAGGTTCAATAAATGATTATTATTATTGGAATTATTGGTGGAAAAGCCGGAAAAGCTGGCAAGAAAAATTATTGCCTACTTTCCTGGGCAGGGGAAGGGGTGGTGCTGGCTGGCTGGCTGCTCTCTTCGGCTGCCATTTTGTTCTGCCGCTGTCGCTGTCTCTGTCGCTGCCGCTGTCTCTGCCGCCGTCTCTGCCTCAGTCGGCAGTCTGCGCAGCTGCAGAGAGTCTTTCTCTCTCTCATTCGCTTGCTCGCTCGCTCTCTTTCTCTCATTCTCTCTCTATCTCTCTCTCAGGCTTCGTGTGGGCGGAAGGAGTAGAAAAAAATGGCAGCGTTGAAATATTTAACGCCGCTAAGTATGCTACGAAAATATTTTGCCGCATTTCGGTGTCTTTTGGTCACAAAAAAAAAAAAGTAAGAGGAGAAAAAAGAGTGGAAACAAGAGTGGGAGAGAACAAAATCTGAAAACAGAAGGGAGACACAGAAATGGCATACCAAAAAATGGGAATACTTGTAGCAGCCATACAACAAGAGCAGAGGAGAGGAGAGGCGTTGCTGCGTGTGACAGTCACCATGCGACGACAGGAATGTCATGCACATACGAGTAGTAGCAACCCCCCCCACCTCCATCATGCACAAACACACACACACACACTCATAGACAAGCATCATACATGCCGCCATTTAAAGCACTTTAATTGCTGGAAAACTTGAAATAATTATGCCCCACACGAGCGACTGGGCCTGGGCGCCAACTTTAAAGCTTAATCCACATCCACATCCCACACACACACGCAGACGCAGACGCAGTCACACAGATATGTATATCCACTGGGCACATCCTTTGGCCTCTGGTACGTACGCGCGTACGTGGTATATCCTTTAAAACTTTTTGCCCGTCGAGTGCAACAAAAAAAAAAAAAAAAGAAATACAACAAAGATAAAAAAGGGTAAACAAAAGCCGTCAAGCGGTGGCTGGATGGAGGGAATGTGCTTTGGGGTTTTTGCATTTTGCAGCTGCTTTTGGCTTTAATGCGTTTTTCCATCACTCGGTCGCCGCCGACTCCTCCTGCTCCTCCTACTCCTCTTTCTCCTTGTCCTTTCCATTCCCATTCCTTCATTTCATTTGTGTGTTGAATTTTTCGGGGAATGTGTGTGGAAATTATGTGAAAAACCCAAAGGGAAATGAACGCCATTAAAGCTTTAATTGTGGAGCAAAAATGGGATTTCTTACGGAAGGATATGTTTTATGTTTATGGGAAAGCACTTTTCAATGTTCTAAAATTATTTTCCAACTTTCTAGCAGTCTTGGTTAATCAGTTAATAACAACCAACCAGTGTTGGTTAACGCAAAATTCTTTTGCTGGATGGAATAGTTTTTTTTTTTTGAAACAATTTAAACAGAATTTTCTCACTTATTTATTTAACGTATGGAACATGGTTTTAAATCAATGCTTCAACTGCTTTACGATGCTACAACTTGAGCTCAAGATTTCCCACTCTCTGCCCGCCCCCTTTCTCTCTGTGTGTGTGTGTCCTATTTTCTTATGCATGAGACTCGTGTTTTATTTATGCGTTTTGTGTAAATATTTGGCAAGCATTTAGCCTGTGACTTTTGTCTTTAAATTGTGTGTGTGTAAATGCGACTCCTGCCTCTACCTCTACCCAGCCAGCTCTAGCGTTGGCCAGGCGTTTACCAAAAATCCAAAAATGTAGCAAATATTTTTTAGGATTACAAAGGAAAACAGCGAAAGAGTGGAGGGCGGCTCCAGCCAGAGAGACACAGAATGATAGGAAAAACTGTGCCAAAAATCAACAATGGGCATATTATCAGCAACAACAAATACACAGAGAGAAATGCACACAGTAAAAGACGGACGAGAGCTGCTGGCAACAATGGCCGGTCCGTTGCTTCTTTTATTCCCACGGTAATTTGAATGGCAAATATTTCTATCGCAAACGATAAACAATTAGTGCAAACAACTGCGTTAGAAATTAAAATATTTGTACAAAAAATGCCATGTTATTGTTATTTTTTGGATGCGGTGCGTGCCGTGCCGTGCCGTGCTGTGCCGTGCCTGATGTGTCGCTAATTCTGGTGCTGGGCAGGGCAGGGCAACCGGGCACAAATTTGTGCGTAAATATACCCAAAAGCATGTGTGTAATTTTGTATTTATTGCTGATGGAAATTGCAGATAGTACCACAGCCAGCAGCAGCAGCAGCACTCCTCTGCCGAGTGTTCTCCTCTAATGAGCAAAGATGAGCCCCAAAGCTATGCCCCACAGAATTTATTATCCCCCTCTCCGCACACCGATTAGTGTCGTGTGAATGGATAGGATGGAATGGTATGGTATGGGATGGTACTTACCGCTCAGTGAATTGTGGCCGCAGGATGGCGCCTTGCCCAGCAGATAATCGTCCTTGCAGATAAACTTATTGTCATCCAAAACGTACAGCTGCTCCCCGGTGCTCAACTGCTTGCGGCATATGCAACATGTAAAGCAATTTAGGTGGAAAACCTTGTCCCGTGGCTTACGCACCAGATCCGATGGCGCAATACCCTGGCCACAGCCACTGCACTTGGTGCCATAGCGTCTGCAAAACAAAAGGAAAAGGAAAATAGCATCAGAGTGTTAGGAAAGGCAAGTCATCAAAAGCAGTGCCATAGAAATGAAATGCCGCTCAGAGGAAGCCTCGAAATTCTATTCCTGGAACGTTTTTTTTTTTTATTGGGAAATTCCAAACAAAAGATCCATCTATGGTAGCCCAGCCCCAGTCCCCCCATTTGAAACCCTTTACTATTCTAAGTAGTTCCGTTTATTGATTGCCACCTGGCAGTGGCACTAGCACTGGCACTGGCACTGACTCCCACAAATGACACGAACTGCTTCCGTTTTCCGTTTATGGAATGCTTTTGTTGGCCCCCACATTCCCATCATACTGTACTGTACTGTCCTGTCGCTGATTGATAGCACAGCCATTCACACTCTGCCACTCTTCAGAATCGAAGGAGCCAAGGGACAGGACAGCGAGAATCTTGTGTGCAGGAATTGATTTCATTTTGATTTGCTCAGGTATTTTGCATGTTAATTGCTTTCGTCCTGCTATTTTTTCCGACTCTACACCTTTGGATTCCCACGCCCACGCCCACGCCCCCGCCCCCCACTTGCTACCTCACGTTCTTTTCTTTTGTTTTTTTCTTTTTTTTTTTTCAATTAATAGAACTGAATGCGGAATCCAAAGTGAAATCAAATGAAACCCACGCGCACGGACAGCAGCAAAACAAAAGCCAAAGAGTCAAAGCTCCGATTGAAAACTTGGCTCTTAATTGCTTTGATTTTTATTTTTTTTTTTATTCAGTGCAGTTTATTCACTGACGAGACGACTTGGCTCTTCGGTCAGCGACTTTTGATTGAAAGTTGCCTCGCTTCACTCGGCATTAGGAGAGGGACTGGTAGAGGATATGCATGTGGGGCATCGTTCATGGCATGGCATACATATATGGGAATGATATCCTTTCGCTTACCTGAAGAAATCGTTGCGACAGTAGAGCTTCGATTCGCGGCTGAAGCATTTGTCGGTGAGCGGTTGGAGGCATTCACAGCATCGCACGCAGGAGGCGTGCCAGGCGCGTTCGAGGACATTCAGCAGGAACTTGTCCAGGATCGGTTTATTGCAGCCAGCACAGGGATCGCCCACGCCCACAGGCGGTTCACTGCGACCTACAAACAAACAGAGAGAGAGAGAGAGGGAAAGCGTGATTAAAGAGACTGCAAGAGTAAACGATTTTCCTGTTTAAAGGATGACCATTTCAAGTGAAAGAAATTCCCCCCTGGAGAGGAACGGACTCGCTCTGTGTGTGTGCGTGTGTGTGTGTGTGTGTGTGTGTATGTGTGCCCGTCGAAAATCCTTCGAGGCGAAAATTAGCACCTCGCTTTTGGTTGCCTCATTAAGTTTGCACATGTGTTTGTGTGTGTGGCAGAGTGGCAGGTGGTGCGGCAGGGTGGGGTAGGGGCAGATAAATGAGCAATGAGCAATGCGTGGCCTTGGGACTGGACTGGACGGATGGTAAACATTTGAGAATTACAATTTGCACGTTGCACGTTTTGCACTACGCATACGCCCTGTGGGGGCATGCACCTTTGCCCCCCTTTGCCCCCCTTTGCCACCTTGCCACCTTTGGCCCGCACAGAGACCGCAATTTCTTGCCACATGTGGCAGCCGTAGCGTTTTTCAATGATTGCTCTCCTTTCCATCATTGCACCCTTCTTCCACCTTGTTAGTAGTTCTTCTCCCCTGCCACACGACGGAGAAGGCGTTGCAAGAAGGCGTGGCATATCTATATATATGTATATATATAGAGTTTTTGTATGTTAGAGGAGATGTGTGAGCAGGCAAGGCAGATGGGGCCAACTGCAACCGAATAATGATAGAGGCCACAACCCAAAATGGAGAGCCCTCGGGCCCTGAGACTGAAACTTGAGGAGCAGCCACCACCAGCAGCAAGCAGCAGCAGCAGGAGAATGAGGTGATGGAGGTGGAGGAGGAGGGCCACAAAGAGGAGAACGAAGAGGCCGAGGGCAGCAGGAAGAAGGTTCCTCCTTTCGCAGTCAATCAGTCAATGGAGTTGTGGCATGAAACCAAACCAAACAAAAACAAAAAAAGAAGAACAAAACTTTTGGCTTCGCCCCTTCGGTTTGGTTCGTTTTGGGGCAGGTGCAGGGGGGGCTGTTGCATGGTTCTCTTTTTTTTTGGGGGGGGGGGGCTGTCTAGGTACAAAATATAAATACCATAAAAAGAAGGAGAAGCCACAGAAACACACAAAACCCAAAGCACAAAGCACAAAACGAGGGAGGAGGATGTTCGAAATAAAAAGTAAACTTTTGTGTGTGAAAATTTATTTTCATTCAAAAAGTTTCTGTGCACATTTTTGTGGCATGCGGAAGAGGCAGAAAAGAGGGCGGGAGGGGGGGAGCAGAAGGAGGATTAATGGGCAGAAGGAGCAGTAGTAGGAGGAAGAAGAAGAAGGAGGATTGTACAAATGACTTTAGACTGAGAGAGAAACAAGGTGTGGGAGAAGAATGAGATGCGATATGAAAGAAGAGAAGAGAAGAGAGAAGGAGTGAACGAATAGAAGAACAGAAAGAGGATCATATCTCTTGTCTCTCAGCCTCCTGTCATATGTGCATTCATCCCTTGCTGCCCTGCCCCCCCACTCCACAGTGACCCACATTAATAATGCCCCCAATTCCTCCCCTAACTACTGACTACCGATGGACAGTAGCTGCAGCCCCAAGCGAATCCCCACCAACGAATGAACAAGCGAGCGAACGAGCGATTGAATGAATGAATGAATGAACCGCCCCAAGAGTGTGCGGGAGCCAGTGTGGGGGCCAGTGCTTCTTGGCCATTATAAATGAGCAACTGACACACTGATTGATTGACGAATTGACTCATTTTCGCTAACAGAAAGCCCCAAAAACAAGAGCCACAAAACTGCAAGGAATTATAACGAACGAACATCCTCCGCAGTGAGGTAGAGGCAACTGGCAACAGCAGCAGGCAACAGCAACAGCAAAAGCCCAACAGACACCCAACAACAGGCAGGGCAGGGCAGAGGCAACATCATCGCAAGTGGCAAAGTTGCAAGTCTCGAGTCCAGACCCTGCCTCTGTGCCTCTGACTCTGCCTCTACGCCTCTCTGCCGCATATGTCAAAATTGACGGATGTTATCAATCATTTCATGCCGCTGCAGACAATTTTTAATGAAGGTTATAGACGTTTATAGACGGAACGGAACGGAACCGAATTGCAGGGAGTGCTGCCAGTGGAAGGAGACGACGACTGACTACGACGAGTCTCTGCCTCAGAGTCTGCCTTTAGTTTGGGGTCGGGGGGGTCTGGCTCTGACTCTGAGGCTCAATGAACTACACAGCAAAAGCAAAAGCATTTTCAAGTCGGGTTAAACGTTGTTCGTGTTGGCTGTTGGCTCCTTATGATGTTGCTGCTGCCGTTGGTGTACATATCCATGATTGATTGTTCTTATTGTTGATATTTTTGGAGTAGTTGATGATGTCGTTGGATACTTTTGTTGATATTTTAACGTTTAAACAGTTTATTTTGTTGTTGTGGCTACTTATAATATTGGTGACATTTCCATGCCATTGTTGTAGTTTTCTTACACTATTTTTACTATTTTTTATGCCATTGCTAAATTTGTTTCATACTGTTGGTATTGTTTTATATATTTTTGGAGTAATTTTTGATAGTATTTTAATTTTATGCACTCATGCTCCTGTTTTATATACTGTTGGTGTACCTTTAAATATTGTTGGTGTACCTTTAAATATTGTTGGTGTACCTTTAAATATTGTTGGTGTACCGTTAAATATTGTTGGTGAAGTTTTATATACTGTTGGTGATTTTTTGTTGTTTGCTTTTGGTGTATTTGCCCACATAATGGCTTCATTTTGTACGTCATATGTGAAGGGATGACTGTGGTACTGTTTGATCAATCTTCAAGCAATCTCAGGGCAAGAGCATCTCCCATTCGGAGTCTCCACCGCTGTGTCCGCTGGGCCTATCAGCGATTAATGCTGCTGCTGTGGTCGTGGCTCCTGTGGCAGCTTCTTTTCCGTTTTCTCGACTGTTTTTCGGGGCTTTACTGGCGAGCACTCTTCTGCCTCGCGCGCTCTTTTTGGGCTGTCAGTCAGGGCACCTTTGCTTCGCGGTGGGGACGGGGACCTTCGTGGACTTTATTTTTGTGCCTTCTGGCGCGTTTTTAAAAAGCGACAAATTGTTGTTTGCAGACGCCGACAACGTTGTTGCTGATGCTGATGTGGCGATGGTGGTTGTTGTTGTTGCTGCTGCTTCTGCTGCTGCTGCCGCTTAAGTGTCGCAATTTAAATATTGTTGAGTGCACTTTTGGCTACCGTTGGCCATTTATTTTGCGCTGAAATTTATGTAACGATGTGAAAAATTGCCCAGCTACTGGAACGAACTGAAGCCAAAGTTAAGAGCCATGAGCCATGAGCCAAGCCAAGGCTCTAGGCAACCTCTCTCTTTGCCCCACACTCTCTGTGCTTTCTGTGCTCTGTGCTCTGTGTCGCTGTTGTTGCAGTTTTCCCCTGGATCTGTGCGGTGGCAGCCATTGACCGCGCGAGTGGAAGCTGTGAGAGGCTGGAGGAAAGTGCAAAGTTGCAACCGAGGCACGTACAAAGCATTTTGCACAACATTTTCCGCGCTCTCAGCCTCTCGCTCTCGGACAAAGCGAAATAATTGTGTTCCACACAGAGCACAGAGAGCTCCACTGGACAATCCATGGACTAACTGCATTTATAATGCAACCAGCAACCAGCAGCAGCAGAAAGCAGCAGCAGCAGCAAGCAGCAGCTTCTTCATGGCTCGATGGGCTGGTCCCCGGCAACACCCCAAAGACCAGCCCCACAAAAAGTAGAGAAAAAAGAAATATAACAAATGAACTGAAACTCTGTTCTGCAAGCAGCCTGACCAGCAGCAGCAGCAGCAGCAGCAGCAGTCCAGCAGTCCACAGCCATGCAGGTACAGTGAGGCCAGGCAGTTGGTGGACACGCTAGACTCTAAACTGGGGACCCAAAAAATCGTATAGATCTGTTCGTGGCAGCATTGAATTCGTGCAGTGCGGTAGAGATCCGAACATCCTTCATCTCGAGTCCTGTCTGTGCAACAGAAGCAAGCTGCTTTGGGGCAGGGGCAAACTTTTGACCATTGTCGTTCCGTCTGTGGCAGAAACTGTGAAAAATTCGTTCGACATCGTACACGCCACAAAAAAAAAATAATACAACAAAAATACAACAAAAAAGAAAAAAGAAGAAAAAAAGGAAAAAAAAAAAAGAAGCGAACAGAAAAATGGGAAATAATAAAAACTGAGCTTCGAACCAAAGCACTTGCTGCTGCCTGCTGCTGCGCCATGTTGGTTACGCCTCCCCCTTGCCCCACACACCCCATTCCGCCTTTTGGGGCACGCCCCTGAACTGAAAACGTGACTAAAATGTTAAAGCCACAAAGAAAAAGAAAAGCAGCAGCAACCAGCAACCGCCGCGCAATCATTTTATTTTTTTTTTCTTCTTTCCAGCTGGTGGCTGGCTGGCTGGCTGGCTGGCGCTGGCTGACTGGCTGTTTCTTCTTCCTTTACTTTTTCCAGGCTTTTCCTCTATTTTCCTGCTACTTCTTTTTTTTTTTTTGTGGCAAATCTTATGCAAAAATCCAAATGGTAATGCAGTAGGAAAAAGCCAAACAAATGGCTACAAAAAAAAAAAAGGAACCCGAGCAAAACTTATGGGCCACAGAAGGAAAACTTTTTGCCAGGCAGACCGAAAAGGGATTAAAGTGGAAAATGTAGAGAAAATCTTTAGATCCTAGAGGGAAAAACTAATATCATGATAGATAATATACATAAATCTGGGGAAGTTCTTATAGAGAAATCTTTGCTCTAAATTGTATTTAAAAAAAATTATAATAAATAAATAATTAATAATAATAATATATAATAATTCGAATACTCTCTAAACTTAACAGCCATTCTTCCCCCAAACATTGCTCTTCTTTCATAATTTGTCTCTTCTGTGCCGACAGCCTCATTAATATTCCATTTTTTTGTTGCCTCTTTTTTTCTTGTTCTTTTTTTATTTAAATATTGTTTCGTTATTTGCCACTAATTTGTGTAATTAAAATGTTAACAAGT